TTTAGGGTTCAGGGTTTGGAGTTCAAGGATTAAGGGTTCAGGGTTTAGAGTTCAGGGTTGGCCCTAGGGTTGAGGGGGCTAGATGGGCATACAGGCCGCTAAAGGCCTTTCTGGCTAAATAGGGTTTCCGCACCGCGTGTTTGGGATTGCGATTTGGCTTGCAGCTTCGGAATATAGGCGTCCAAGGTTTTGAGATGGGAATTAAAATAACCATTATAGAAGCATTGAAAGGGATCCCTATGATCCCTGCCCTAAACCCTAAACCCTACTCCCTTGGCGTCCCAGGGTTCCGGGCTCTGCAGTTTTGTTTGCGATTCAGGTCTCGTTTCGCACTCAAGATGGCATCTGAAAAGGGTTCATAAGTTGAAGCAGTTTTGCGTTTAGGGCGTAAGGTCTAGGGTAGATCCCTACATACCGCATATTCGATCTACTTAAGTGGGAGTAAAAGTTGAAGCTCGCACCTTTTGAGGGTTTAGGGTTTAGGGTTCAGGGTTCTGTTGTTTATGTTGCTTTTGATCGTGCTATTGGTGTTTTTATGATTAAATGATTATGTGTATTATTCCCAGCATTACTACTGACCAGGAGCTCAACACTTTCATGTTTGCGGCCAAGTTAGAGTCAAATGTCCATGGATCATTCGTCACGAAAATGTCGACCTAGCAGAGGATCACTCAGCTGAAATCCTTTTCATAGTCGTTGTATGAGGAATTACTCTTCCCACTATAGCATCGTGATGTTTGCCTTTAAAAAATGTCTCTACTTCCCCCCCCACGAATGTGATCTTTTCCCATGACTTAAGGTCCAACCCTGTGCCCATATCAGGGCTTAGGGGTTTAGTGTGTAGTGGTTTAGGGTACTGATCCCCAAATTTTTCTGGCAAAAATTTCAATTCGCGGACCGAGGTTTGTAATCAACCATGTATGGACCACTGAAACTCCGTATGATTCTTAACAGGCCCCAAAGCCGAAATCCTAAGCTCTAAGTAGTAGTTTCCATTTTCTTTTCCGTCCTCCCCATATAACCCCATTATCCCTATAAACCCTAAACGACCCCATTATCCCTGTAAACCCTCATACCCCAACCCTAAACCCTAGCCATGGAGGCCTGGTTGCAGAGGGCCTGCCGGTCCCTCCTATCTTCATCTGCGACTGGGTTGCTGTTAAGGAACTTCAATTTTTGTTACCATAATGGGTATGGGGTTTGGGGTTTAGGGTTTAGGGTTTAGGGTTACCATAATGGGTATATATATAGTAAATCATAGGGTTTCCCCAATATAGTAACTTAATTTAAGTTCCTTTAACAGCAACCCAGGCGACCACGGACTGGCAACGCATCAATCCTTTCCTGACCGACCATGAGGCGACATGGGAGGGTTTAGGTTTTTAGGTTTTTTAGGGTGGAGGATTTGGGGTATGTAGGGAGAAAGGGGGTATGTAGGAAGCTATAGGGATATACAGGGGGTATATAGGGGTATGCGTATAAATATAGATATACCTATATATATATACACATATATATATATATGTATTCATATATGTGTAGGTATATATATGCATACATATACATATATATATATATATATGTGTAGGAGTGTTTTGTGGTTGAGGTTTGGGTTTAGAGGGTTAGGGTATTAGGATTCATGTAGCACTTAGGGTTTATTGTGCAGGGGATTGGACGCCTATGTGGGCATTTTTTTGTATGACTGAGCATGATTCTCATTTAATGCATTCTATCAGCTTAGATTTGGACTCAGCAACTGTAAGCTTAGTGGGCATTCTGGTGGAGTAGTGGGGACTCAGGGTTACCCAGCCCTGTATACATCCCCATTTATTGCAATTCATCTCCGTGTATCCTTATATGGCTAAAGATAGATATGTATATATATATATATGTGCATGTTATAGATACCAAAACCTTGAAGCCCCAAAGGTAAGGGACATTTTGCAGCTCACCGCGCACGCGATGCTCCGGGCCGTGCGCGTGGTCCTTGCCAACGGCTCCCTGGCAGAGGCCAGGGCAAAAAGCATGCTCATTCTTTATTGGGACTGGACGAAACGAAAACCCTTGACCCTGAACCTAAAATCCTAAATAGTACTTTCCAGCTTGTTTTCAATTATCCCTATATACCACTTATTAATATTACCCCAATACAATACAACTTCAGTGGTTGTAGGGTTTAGTGGGGAAGGAGGAATGGGCTGGGGGAATGCAAAGAAAATGGAAACTACGACAAGTTCAGGGTTAAGGGTTGTAGTGGGGAAGGAGGAATGGGGTTGCAGGGATGAGTATGGAGTTTAGGGTTTAGGGTTTAGGCACTCCTCCCACGTGCGGAATGAAAAGGGGCCCTATGAAGACTACAGTCTCGTTGCACGGGCAGACATGGAGTTCCATGCTAGTTTAGCCGAGGGCAGAGACTGCTGCTAGGGGGTAAGTATGGGATCAGCCCCCGCGTCGCATTCTTTGGTGGTCCTTTTTTGGGGTTCCATGCTAGCTATAGCGGGAGAGCATAAGTCCCTGTGACATGAACCCTGCATTATAAGACAAGCCTACATAGCACACCCATAGTACCAGTCTAGGGAACCGTATGCATCCTTACATAACCCTAACCCCTAAAACCCAAAGCCTTAAACCCCTAAACCCCTAAACCTCTAAACCCCTAAATCCTAAGTCTACCTGGCGGAGGCCCGAGACCTGCAGAAGATGCTCTCCAAGGCCATCAGTGCCTGAGCCCGATAGGATAGCAAGAGTTATAGTAGGGTTGAGGGTTTGGTGTTTAGGGTTTGGGGTTTAGGGTTTAGAGTTATAGTAGGCTTTAGGGTTTTGGGTGGGGGTCCTTATAAAGATTCTGACATATATCGGTCTACATTCGGGCCCCTCTTTATGGAAACCCGCCTATAGTGGCATTCTTTGGGCGGAGGGTTTGTTGGACTTAGGGTTTCCAGGGCTCAGAGGTTTGTAGGGTATAGGGCTCGCCGGGGAGAAACGGACTAGGTGTGTACTATCAGGTAGTAGAAGGAGGACAGGGGGACTTTGCGGGGTTTCGGCCTCCTCCAAAGTAACGTGGAACTTCATGTTGCCACCCCTTAAAGGGACTGACGTCTTCAGAGAGCACCTTTAGGGCGTCCATGATAGTTTGGAGGAAGGCATAAGACAGCCAGAAGTCAAGCAAAGTGGTACTTGCAATGATATAAAGAAGGTCAGTGAAGACAAAAAGCACTTGTAATGGTACTTAAGTGCATAGGATTGCTCATGCTAACGAAGTTTTTTCCAGTGGTTATACTTACCTCCTAGGTGTCGCTGAGCCTTACCACGGTGGCTCTTGGAAGCGCCACGCATTTAAGTACTTTGTAGCTGGAGAATTGTGGTGTTCTAGAGCTAAGGTCATGCAGGGTTTCTAGTACCAACAGTAGCGGTGCTCTAGTCCATTTTTTGAGCATGACGGCTTCTAACCAGAAACCCTACGTCCCCAGTCTCTAACCCTAAAGTGTACATGCTGGTCAACCCTTTCGAAATCCCATATACACTTACCCTATATAACTCTTATAAAACCCCTACATAGCCCCTACATAATCCCCAAACAGCCTTGTATAATCCATAGAAGCCTGGCAAACCCAGGCACCGTCCGAGAGACAGGCAAGCTCCCCAACGATGTCCGGGTTGGCCTGGCAGAGAAGGGCGAGGTTGGGGCAGCTACAGGGGTATTAGGGTTATATTGGGGTTATATTAGGGTTATATTAGGGTTATATTAGGGTTATATTGGGTTTATAATATGTTTATATTGGGTTTATATTAGGGTTGAGGGTTTAGGATTTAGGGCTTTGGGGTTTAGGATCGAGGGTTTAGGACTTAGGGTTTAGGGTTCAGTGCTTTTAGGGTTCAGGATTTACGGTTTAGGGTTTAGGATTTAGGGCTTGGGGTTTGGTGTTTAGGGTTGGGGACCTAGAATATGTTGTGCGAGGATTAGTTCTATGGCGTTAGAGTTATGTAGGGTTTAGAAGGAGTTTTTTCATGGTTTCGGCGTTTTCGCACAGGAAGGGTTACACAGCATAAATTTCTTCTGGTTAGCAGGGAATGAAGGAATCGAAAAGCCAAAATGCTAATTCCCATATGATATTGGATGTTGAAGAATTTCTCTGAAGGTCCAGATACCCAAAGACTGGGGGTTTGTGTGTTCCAAACATAGGAGCCTGAATGGGTTTTGACACCTACAGCCCCAATATTTGGGTGCTTGGACTTTTAGGGCAGGAAAGCACTCCAGTTGCATCGAGATTGTGAGTCCGCCATAGGTGTTGTGAGTACATTTCGTGCCCTTGTAATGTATATACCTGCTAGGGACCAGAGCAAATGTGGGGGCGTGATGGTGACAGCTGAGCCTTTATACAGAAGAGGAGTCACCTTAGAGAAGCCAGGGAGAAAGGGGAGTCATGGTTGTACCTTTTGGCAGCTAGCGCAGAGCTAGACAAGACCCCAAGTTTGATTCAAACATAAGGCCTTTTTACAAACTCCCTGAAGTCTTGAAAGTAACCCCAAGAAGTCCCAGATAAGCTCATCAAGTCTGCTTGGAGGTCTTGGCGCGACGTATCGATGCCAGACGGCACTACGTCTCCGAGACTTTATCCTACGATCCACACTTCTTGGTCTTCGAGTTCTCAGACAACAAGATGCTCCATGGTCGACAGGCCGACGGACATGTCTTAAAGCATTGAATTGAGTCCCAACCCCTTAGAGGGGGTTTCTACAGGGGAATCTATACCGGAGTATGATAGTTCTAATTAAGGGGGATACTGTAGCTCAAGTAAAGGTTTTGGAGCTTAAGCCAAAGGCTGACAACATGTGAGGCTGTTCTGTCAGATGTGTCCGCGGGACGGCTTTGGCCATCGTTCCTCTCCTCATCGGTCTGTGTTGTACTGCCCTTCCAGACTTCCCCACCACAGAAAAGCACAGCGAGCTTGCTTGACACCCTGGAACTCTTCAGGCGGAACTCAATTTCGTATAAGCCTTGAAGCAACCCAACGACCCCTGAGAGGTGGCCATCATCTCAGACTTTCAGAAAACTGTGGAGGGCGGCGAGAGCGGCGTGAAGCAGAAGCTCGCAACGGTTCGGAAGTAGTTTCCACTGGTACCAGTCCTGTCGCCCTCCTGAGAACGCGTACATCCAGGTAAAATGGAGATTAATGTGGGTGGTTGTCAAAATTATGGTCCCTCTTTGGGTGCCCCAAATATTAGGCGCCGTACTATAATAGGGATCCAAAAAGGGACCACAATTTTGACAACCACCCATGTGTAGCTTTTGCTTCTGAGGGTGACATGAAGCATCCCTGACCTTCCAGGATACCAAAGCCTTGCTAGGGTATAGGGTTTAGGGTTTAGGGTTTAGGGGTTTAGGGTTTAGGGTTTTCTCTTTTGTTCCGGAAAAGCTGGCAGGAGAAAAATGGAGAATTTGGTTATCAAGTCTCAGCTGATGGCGATCTCCCCTTACGTATGATGGAGTCGTTAACACAAGCATCCTTCAGATTTCTAACAAGACAATGTTTGAGAAGCGCCGTACCTATGCTCAAGGTTCCCAAGCCGTGAAGAGTTCGTTGAGGATAATCATGGGCTACAAATAGGTTCCATACCCTGAAGAGCCTCAACAGTGAGCCCAGCATGTGGATCCCTGAGGTAGTCACCCGGTAGCCTTTATTTAATCGCCCATACTAACCATATGAGCCATGATTCAAAATCCTAAAAGAGGGTTATACATGCAAAAATGTGGGGAAGTATTATAGGGGTTNNTAAGAGGGATGCTACGAGTTTAGACCAAAGCTCATATTCCTCAGTTCCTTACAGCCAGGAAGCAAACTTTTCAGCCAAGGATGATCATGGGTGCAGGAAAGACGACGGTGGTCAGCCCGCTGTTGTCCATGCTCCTGGCAAATGGTAGCTTGGCTGCTGCTCCAAGGTCTGAAATGCAATACAGCCCTGAACCCTTTGTAGGGTTATGTGTTTCGGTAGTTTGGAAGCCTATAATATGGCTCCGACAGAAGGTGTATAATGTACACGCAAACATACACAGTATTCTGACATAATGAGCATAGTGATGGGATGATTTCGTTACAACGCGTGCTTCTTCATTGTCTCACAATCTGTCCTTCTAATAAAGCCCTATTCCACACCCTAAAAGGTAAACTCCGTATCCCGAACCTGGAGCCTTAAACCCCATACCGAAACCGAAAGCCCGAGAACCCTATTTGGAGCCCCTACCCCAAATCCCAAACCTTTAACCCATACCCCAAAATCCTAAGCCCTGAGTCCCATACTTTCCCCAAAGCGCCAAACTCTAGATCCAACCCCGAAGCGTACACCGGTACCCGCTGTAAACTACGCGCCATACCCCCGACCCTGAAACCTTAAACTACGGTTCTTATCCTAAACCCTCAACCCTA